AGAGACAGAGAGACAGAAAGTGAGAAATCACCCCCCAGGGGGGATGGCCACGCCCTTCTGCTCCATTCTTCTCTCAGGATCTTGGGCACGCCTACACATGCACCAGGTGTGAATTTAAGCCACCAGGTCCAGGACTCAAACCAGCGACACAGCCAGTACTCCAACTGCTGGTTTCAAGTTGCTAAGAAAATTTTTTGGGTTTTTTTTAATCTTGTGTACTCACTGGGCTCAAGCCTACACCTGGTTGAGTGAAACCCTCTTAGGTATAGTCCTAGGGCATTGAGCAGCTGCGTTCTTATGAGAATTCACCTTAGAATGAAGTGATAATCTGCTCCTGTGACAGACCTGCAGCCATTTTGGGAGTCCCAGAGATGGGAAGGAAAAGACAAGTGATGCTAACCTGTGTGATGTAGATTATTTGCCTAGGCACAGGGCCAGGCAGCCTTGTTGAGAGCTGGCTTCTAAGGTCAACATTTCTTTCCCCCAGATGACAAATAGGAAATACCCTAACCAAATTAGAAACCTAAATTTCCCTTTCTTCTGAAAGGGGGCAGTTACAGGAAGGCAGATAAAGCAGCAGAACTTCCAGGTAGATAAGGGGGTAAAGGTTCAGATTTAGAAAGAGTGCCCATCATCTCTGCAGATTCTCTCTCTCTCTCTCTCTCTTTTTTTTTAATAATTATTTTATTTAACTTTATTTATTTTAATTTGACCAGAGAGGGACAGAGTGAGAGGAAGTGAGAGAAAGCCAGGTCTGGGACTCGAACTGCGGCCGGCCATGTGGGAGTCCAGCACCCTTAACCACCATACCACCTGCTGGCCCCTCTGCAGAGTTTTATGAACCCTGATTTTCTGGTGGGAAACTTTGTACAGCCTACCTTGACTAGCGGTTTCTTACAGCGTCTAACTATTTCTGCGCCAACCGAGGCAAGTTCTCTGTGAATTCACACATACCATTGGGTACCTGTGAGAGGAAGGAGAGATAGAAAAGGGATTGAGGATGACCATTCCCTGTGAGGGGTGCTTTCTTCTCCCCCTTTCTCTCTGGCAAGTGCATGAGCCCTTTAGCACCAAAAAAAGAAAAAACTTGGACTCCAGAGCCAGTCAGCTTGGATTTAAATCTGACTCCACCCCTTTTTTTTTTTAAGAATTATTTAATTTTATTTATTCATTCATTCATTCATTCATTCATTCATTCATTTTAGAATTTTTTTTTTTTTTTTTTGCTACAGGGCGCATGTACTCGCCAGAAAGGCGGAGAGAGATAGACACAAAGCAAGAAATAACCCCCCGGGGGATGGCCACGACGCAATCACTTCTCCTCCATTCTCCTCTCGGGATCTTGGCCACGCACACACACGTACCCAGCAGGAGTTTAAGCCACCCGGTCAGGGACTCGAGCTGCGGTCGACTATGTGGGAGTCCAGCGACATAGCAATTACGCCAACTGCTGGTCTCATTTTTAATTTGACCAAAGAGAAGCACACAGAGAGAGAGAGAAAGAGAGAAAAAGAGGAAGTGAGAAAGCAAGCCACCAGGTCTAGGACTTGAACTACAGTCAGCCATGTGGGAATGTCCAGTGCCTTAACCACATCACCTGCTGGTTCCTCCACCACGTATGATTTTTTTTTTTTTTTTGAGAGGTTTTTGCCATAGGGCCCGTGTGCTCGCCAGACAGACAGAGACAGAGAGACAGAAAGCGAGAAATCACCCCCCAGGGGGGATGGCCACGCCGCAATCCCTTCTCCATTCTCCTCTCAGGATCTTGGGCACGCACGCACACGCACCTGGTGTGAGTTTTAAGCCACTGGGTCCAGGACGCGAACCGCGGTTGACTACATGGGAGTCCAGCGACATAGCCATTACGCTAACTGCTGGTCCCAACTGTATGATTTTGGACAAGCTTTTTTTTTTTTCTTTTTTTGGAAAGTTTTTTGCTATAGGGCGTGTGCGCTCGCCAGAGAGAGAGAGACAGAGAGACAGAAAGTGAGAAATCACTCCCCGGGGGGCTGGCCACGCTGCAATCCCTTCTCCTCCATTCTCCTTTTGGGAATCTTGGTCATGCACGCACACGTGCCTGGTGTGAGTCTTAAGCCACCGGGTCCGGGACTTGAACCACGTTCGACTACATGGGAGTCCGGTGACGTAGCCATTACGCTAACTACTGGTCCCTAGACAAGCTTTTTAACCTTTGTGCTTCTGTTACTTATCTGTAAAATGTGAATAATGCTGGCCCCAACCTCATAGGGCTGTAAGTATTATATGAGTCAATAGGCAAAAATGCCTAAAATAATGCCTAATATATAGTAGTACTCAATAAATGTTGACTTCCTTATTATTTAATTGTACATGTGAAATATCATTGTAGGAAAAACTGATAAAACTGTGGCCAGCCAGGTAGTATGGTGGTTAAGGCAGCCGAATCCCACATGGTTGTTAGCATGGTTGAATCCGAGATTCAACCACTTGACAAACACTGTGGGTACATGACATCCCAAGAGAAGAGGGGACATGAAGGGACTGTGGCATAGTCATCAGTCTGGGACTCAAACCACTGTTGGCTACATGGGAGTTCAGCGACATAGCCTTTACGCTACCTGCTAGTCCCAAGAGAGATGGAACTTTTAAAAATGAAAGAAAGAATGAGTATATACCAAGCAATGGATGGAGAGAAGAGAATGAGAAGAAATGTTCATAGTTACATTGTTTGGCTCTCTTATTTGTTTGATATAGGGTGAGTATGTTTTCCAGAGAGAAAGTGAGAAGACACCCCGTATAGGGGATGGCCACACGGCACTCCCTTTTCCATTCTCTTCTGAGGATTTTGGGCATGTGTGCACGTGTGTCTGGTGTGCTTTCTAATCTGCTGGGTCTGGGGCTCGAACCACATAGTCACGTGGGATCCAGCTACCTGAACCTTCACCAACTGGCCATAAGTTTTCTTTTCTTTCTTTTTTTTTTTTACTTTATTTCTTCCAGGAGTAAGTAAGAGGGACAGACAGACAATATCCTCAATACGGTCTTGATGCTGTGGTCCACCCCCAGCCTTATTCAGACCTGGAACATAGGCACGCATGCCATGCTTCATGTACTCAGGGAGGTCTACTGATGCAAACTCAGAACCCTCCCATAGGGGTCATCCTTATGGAGTGTTATATTTTACCACTATGCCACTCCTGAACCTCTCTTTATCCCATAGTCACCACCTATGTTAAGATTCTTACCATCTGTTTCCTGCCTAGATGTTCTTCCAGTCTCCCTCCTGTTGACAGAGTGATTCTAAAAGAGAACTCTTGTTTCTTGACCAGCAGATGGCACGGTGGTTAAGGTACTGGATACTCCCACATGGTTGACCACGGTTCGAGTCCTGGACCTGGTGGCTTGCTTTCTCACTTTCTCTCTCTCTCTCTCTCTCTCTCTGTGTCTCTCTCTGGTCAAAATAAAATAAATGAATGAATGAATAAAATGAAATTTTTAAAAATTCCTTAAAAAAAAAAAAAGAACTCTTGCCACCAGCAATTGGCGTAATGGCTATGTTGCTGGACTCCCATATAGTCGACAGCAGTTCGAGTCCTGGGTCCAGTGGCTTAAACTCACACTGGGCACATGTGCGTGCATGCTCAAGATCCTAAGAGGCGAATGGAGAAGGGATTGCGGCATGGCCATCCCCCCAGGGGGTGATTTCTTGCTTTCTGCCTCTTTCTCAGTCTGTCTTTCTGGTGAATGCACGTACCCTATAACAAAAACCTTTCAAAAAAAAAAAAAGAACTCTTACTCTTTTTCTTTTCATTAATTTGGCAGAGGACACATATGTTTGCCAGATAGAGATAGAGAGAAAGATAACGTGAGAAAACAGCCCCCCCCAACAGGAGACGATCATGCTATAGTTCCTTCTGCATTTCTATCTCCTTTTGGGATTTTGGGCACACGTGCACAGGTGCCCAGTGTGTGTGTTTTTGTGGGTTTTTTTTTAAAGGTTTTTGCTATAGGGCGCATGCGCTCACCAGAAAGAAAGAGACAGACAGAGAGACAGAAAGGAAGAAATCATTTCCTGGGAGGATGGCCACACCGCAATCCCTTCTCCTCCACTCTCCTCTCGGGATCTTGGGCATACATGCACATGCGTTCAGCGTGAGTTTAAGCCACTAGGTCTGGGACTCAGACTATGGTCAACTACATGGGAGTTCAGCGACATAGCCATCACGCTAACTGCTGGTTCCCCCAAGTGTGTTCTTTAAGCCACCAGTCCAGGATTTGAAACTCGATGGTCGACCATTTGAGATGCAGCTACCTTAACCTCCATGCCTCGGGCTGACCCTATAGCTCTCTTTTTTTTTTTTTTTTTAATTTTTCCCCCCTCCTTCCATATTTCTCTTTCTGGTCAACACATAGGCCTTCTAGCAATTTCAATCAGACAGACAAACAAAACTAATACTTTATTCTCCCAGCACCCAGCTAATTCTTGTTTGTCTTGTGGAACTTATTTGTGGTGATACCTAGTGCTAGAAAACTTCTCAAAACCACTCTTAGCCTGGGGGAGGCATCCACATCTCTTGCCTTCTGAAGGTCTTGTGCCTATTCTACCAAAACACGTAGCACTTTGTTTTATAAGTGTGTGTTTATGTAATGTCTTTCTTATTAGAATTAAATTTCCCAAGTCAACATCTTTCCCTCTCTCCTACCCATGACTGGCACATAGTAGACTACCAATAAATATTTGTTAGACAAATGAATGGATCTTGGCAGTGAGTTTATGTTTGCCACATATTCGTAGTCTTCTTCTGAACTGGCCTTTTTTTCTCTGTTCCTTCTAGGACCTGGGTTTCAGTGATGAGACATGGGGTATGATGTAACCCGTTTCCAGGGGGATGTTGATGAAGACCTTATTTGCCCTATTTGCAGTGGAGTCTTGGAGGAGCCAGTACAGGTAAGTGAATTTGATGGCAGGTTTGGTGGGGCAACATATGGCAGTGGAACTAACAAAGAATATGCAAGTACAATAGGACCCATGAAGAATTTACTGTGTTGGGACCAGCAATTGGTGTAATAGCTATGTCAATGGACTCCCATACAGTTGACTACAGTTCGAGTGCCAGATCTGGTGGCTTAACCTCGCGCTGGGCGCATGTGCGTGCATGCCCAAGATCCCGAGAGGAGAATGGAGGAGAAGGGATTGCGGCATGGCCATCCCCCCTGGGGGGTAATTTCTCACTTTCTGTCTCTCTGTCTCGCTCTGGTGAGTGCATGCACCCTATAGCAAAAACGTCTCAAAAAAAAAAAAAGAATTTACTGTCTTGTCATTTCCCCAGCCCCAGTAGAGGTTTGGTGCAGAGGAACAGTGGTGGTTCCCATGGAGATCCAGTGGTTCAGATTTTTTTTCTTTGTTTTTTTTTTTTAAGAGAGATTTTTGCTGTAGGACGTGTATGCTCCCTGGAGAGACAGAGAGAGACAGAGACAGGAAGTGAGAAATCACCCCCCAGGGAGGATGACCATGCTGCAATCCCTACTTTTTCAGTCTCCTCTCGGGATTTTGGGCATGCATGCATATATGCCTGGCATGAATTTAAGTTGCCAGGTCTGGGACTCGAACCACAGTTGACTACGTGGGAGTCCAGTGACGTAACCATTATGCCATCTGCTGTTCCCTTGTTCAGATTTTTTTTCTAAGGTTGCTTTGAAATTTTTCTCCTGTGAGATGGTCAGTTGCTTGTTTCTGTCCCTGGCAATATCTTGGTAGCTCCCCTTCCTCTGTAGAAACTCTGAGCAGGGTCCATCTTCCTGTCTATGACTGAACTTCTGCACTTTCCTAATGACATCATGCTTCAGATAAAGCAGACTCCCTATAGGCCTCTTCTGCCTCCTGTGTGCTGTTTATAAAGAGGAAACAAGGAACTCTATATACTCACCTATTTTCTTCCTGGAATCTACTGGAAAGACCAGCTTTGGATGCAGCCATGTCCTTTTGCATTTTGAGATGAGATCTGCCACCTTCAGTCTTTCTGCCAGCTTTCCTTGCCAGATCAGAGTCAGTTGCATCTTCCTGGGGTAAGCTTGAGGAGACACTCATGATTACCAGGGAGTATAGTGAGTGAGATGACTCCTTAGCACTGTATTCATGGGACATTGTCCCACACGATCCTTATGGCTCTTGTTCTGTAAATGCCAATGAACCCTCTGCCACTCCTGGCCAGCTAGAGATAATCCCACTTTCCAATCCCGGACACTGGTCAGTGAGGTCTCAGAGCCCTTCTCTATCCACTACACATATAATTCCTAGTGCCTGCCCTTGAATGTTTGAATTTATTCCTTTTATTTTTGGCTAGAGGATGTGTGCTCTTACCAGAGAGAGAATCAGCACCCCTTAATGCCATGTGCTGATGCCACAACCCTGTTTCCTCTATTCCTCCCTCCTGTCAGGATTTTGAGCGTGAATGTGCCCAGTATGTCTTCAAGCTGTCAGGGCCTGGACTCAAGCTATAGTCAGCCATGTGGGATCCAGCTCCTTTAACCACTGAACTATGGAGCAGGCCTCCTGGGTTTCTTTCCAGATTCCAACCACTGAAAGGTACATGGATGTTTGAGCAGCCAGCCCTGGAGCTGTCTCCTTTCTAGGCCTTTGCTGCCTACTACTATTCAGGGCATATTAGGTGGGTGTAGAGCAAGCTATGCCGAGTAGTGTCAGGAGGTCACAGGGTGTGTCAGATTCTCTCATCACCCTGGCAGGGCCTTGTCCATCTTCTGGCCCGGTCATTTGAGATGAGGTAGTTGTGAAGAGGTGTGTGGTGTTAGGTGGCAGTCTGAGTCAGAAGACACTCTTCCACCTCCAGGGTTTACCTTCTAAGAGCAGGGCAGGCAGTCCTCATCCTGCCAGGTTACCAGATGTATTGCCAAAGGGCAGAAGATCCCTGCTAGAGAGGCTGATTTCCTCCTGTCATTTTATTTTTAAGAATTATTTATTTATTGGGACCAGCAGTTAGTGTAATGGCTATATCGCTGGACTCCCATGTAGTCGACGCGGGTCAAGTCCCGGAACCAGTGGCTTAAAACTCACGCCGGGTGCGTGTGCGTGCCCAAGATCCCGAGAGGAGAATGGAGGAGAAGGGATTGTGGCGTGGCCATCCCCCCTGGGGGGTGATTTCTCACTTTCTGTCTCTCTGTCTCTCTCTCTCTTTGTCTGGCGAGCACACGCGCCCTATAGCAAAAACCTCTACAAAAAAAAAAAAAAAAAGATTAATTCCTTTTCTTATTATGTTTTAATTTGACCAGAGAAAGACAAAGACAGAGAAGAAAAGGGAAAGCAAGAAAGCAAGTCGCCAGGTCCAAGATTCGAACCATGGTTGACTATGTGGAGATCCAGCACCTATAACCACCAAGCCAACTGCTGGCCCCTCCTCCTGTCATTTTAATTTATTTTTTGAGTAGGTAATAATTTTATATGGGGGGCCAGCAGGTGGCATGGTGGTTAAGGTGTTGAGCTCCCACATGGCCAACCATGGTTCGAGTCTCAAACCCAGCGGCTTTGAAATTCATACTGGAATGGCCAGTAGGTGGTATGGTGGTTAAGGCTCTGTACTCTTATGTGGCTGACCATGGTTCAAGCCCTGAACCTGGTGGCCATGCTTTCTTTCTTGGTTTGGGCCCTGTACACTTCCATATGACTGGCCACAGTTTGAGTCCCAGACCTGGTGGCTTGCTTTCTCATTTTCCCTCTCTCTCTCACTCTCTCTCTCTCTCTCTCTCTCTGTGTGTCTCTTTCTGGTTGAATTAAAATAAATGAATGAGTAAATTAAAAAAAAAAAACAGAAATTCATACTGGAGGGACCAGCAGATGGCGTAACGACTATATTGCTGGATTCCCATGTAGTCGACCACGGTTCAGGTCCCAGACCCAGTGACTTAAACTCATGCCAGGCGCATGTGTGCATGCCCAAGATCCCTAGAAGAGAATGGAAGAGAAGGGATTGTGACATGACCATCCCCCCAGGAGGTGATTTCTCGCTTTCTGTCTCTCTGTCTTTCTGGTGAGTGTATGCACCCTATAGCAAAAACCTCTCCAAAAAAAAAAATCATTCTTTAAAAATTAAATAAATAAATAAATAACATTTTAAAAAAGAATTATTTAATTTTATTTGTTCATTCATTTATTTTAATTTGACCAGAAAAAAACACAGAGAGAAAGAGAGAGAGAAAGTGAGAAAGCAAGCCACCAGGTCCGGGACTCGAACCATAGTCAGCCATGTGGGAGTCCAGTGCCTTTAACCACCATGCCACCTGCTGGTCCCAATAAAATAATTCTTAAAAAAAATTTGAGACCAGCAGATGGCGTAATGTTTATATCGCTGGACTCCCATGTGGTTGACTGCAGCTTGAGTCTCAGACTCAAAGACTTAAAACTCACACCAGGTGCATGTGCTTGCATGCCCAAGATCCCTAGAGGAGAATGGAAAAAAGGGGTTTAGGTGTGGACATGAGGGGTGATTTCTCACTTTCTGTCTCTCTTTCTCTCTCTCTGTCTCTCCAGTGAGCACACGTGCCATAGAGCATAAAGCCTCTATAAAATAAAAGAAAGTATGTATTTAGTTTATTATTATTATTTTTTAAATTTACTATAAGGCATGTATACTCACCAGAGAGGAAAAAAAAAAGAGAAAGTAAGCCTCCAGGTTCAGGACTCAAACTGTGGTTGGCTCTGTGGGAGTCCAGCACCTTACCCACCATGCCACCTGCTGTCCTCACAATCATAAAAGTTTTAAGCAAGGGGGGGTAATATGGTCTGATTTGCCCCCCCCTCTTTTTTTTTGTAATAATAACATGCATGTACAAGAGAGAGACACACATACCAGCTTTGATGGTGTCATGTCACAGTCCCCTTCCCCAGCACTCTAGCTCACTGTTTTTCAGCAGACCTAAGGATCTGAACCTGCAGTCAACCATGTGGCTTCCAGCCTTCCAGCATACTGTGTTATCACTGTGCCACAGTGGATAGGCCTGTTTGCATTTTAAAATGATCACTGTGGCTACCAAATGGAGAATGGATTATAAGGGGGCAGAATAAAGCTGGGAAACCAGTTAAAACACATAAAATAATTCAAGTGAGAGATGATGGCATCTTGAACCAGGTAATTGGCAGTAAGATGGAGAAAAGTGGGCAGATTAGATTGTTTTGTAGATACGATCTGTAGAACTTCAAAAAGTATCAAGTATGTCTTTGAGTGACAAAAATCTACTGACGGCCAGCCAGGTGGCATGGTGGTTAAGACAGCTGGATCCCACATGCTGACTGTGTGGTTATGGTTTGAGTCCTAGTGGCTTGGAAAATATGCTGAGTGCATGTTTGTGTATGCCCAAAATCCCTACATGAGAACCGGGGGGGGGTGGGGATTGTGGTGTGGCCATCCACACTGGGGGAAGCTTTCTTACTTTCTTTCTTGTTTTTTTTTTCTCTCTTTTTCTCTCTCTGTCTCTTTCCAGTGAACTCATACACCCCATAGCAAACCGTATACAAAAAATAATAATCAGGGACCTTAATATGGCGGACTCCCACATGGCCAATTGTAGCTTGAGTCTCAAGCCCGGTGACTTAAAACTTACTCCAGGCATCTGTGCTAGAGTGCCCAAAATTCCAAGAGGAGAATGGAAAAGGGACTGCAGCCATGCCCCCAGGCGGTGATTTCTCATTTTTTTCTCTGTCTCTCTCCAGTGAGCACATGTGCCCTGTGGTAAAAAAACAAAAACAAACAAACAAAAAATGTACTGATAGTTAGATGAATGATAGAATAAATTCTTTCCTTAGAAAGCCTTTGTGTTTTTGATATTTAGTGTCCGTGAGCATCTTAAAGGCAGAAATTGTTGCATCCTTTTTTTTAATGCATTTATTCAATGTATGACACAAGGGCAGAACCAGAGACTTACTTTTAAAAAACAGAAACAAAACAAAATAAAAGCACAGCCTAAGGTACAGAGTTCTAACAGAAATCAAAAAAGAACAGACTACCTAAGAAAAACGAACAAACAAAAAACACAAGGAGAGACTAGACAGCCTGGGTTAGGGCTCCTGACGGGAGACCTGCTTAGAGTAGGACTCTCAGGTACTTCTTGAAGGCTAGAGCGTTTTCCCACAGTGTGTGCTCAAAGGGCTGTTGATGTTAGGTTCTCCGAGCAGGCTTTGGATGGAAAGCAGGTTGGTCCGGATATGATATTAGGGTGGACCACTTGTCCTTCAGGATGTCCAGGCAGATGTTACCCTGCTGTCCATGTTGGGGTGGTAGCAGAGAGTGAGGAACGTCACCATGGGTGCATGGCAAGGGTGGCCACTTGCGAATTCTAGGAAGGTCTTAGCCTTAGGTCTTCATAAACCGTACCAGCTGTTCCATGGTTGGCCCCTACCCATTTGAAAAGGTTGTCTGACTCAGAGAAGGCAGAAATTCCTTTGTTGACACATACCATGAGGATCATCAGCTCTGCTGTAGCCTCTTGCCTGTGGGGCCTCAGGTAGTGGCCCCACTGGGCTTAGATCCTTTACAGGTGGCAGCTGCGCTGGTGGAAGCTAGGTCATGGTTTTGGGAGGCCATCTGGGTGGCGCTAGCAAGGATACAGGAACTCTGAGACCACGATTGCAACTGTCGTCTCCTCCTCCTCCTCCTCCTTCTCTTTCTTCTTCTTCTTCTTTCTTTCTTCTTTCTTCTTCTTCTTATCATAAGCACTTAGTAAGGGGTTTGGGACATAGCAGGCAGTCCACTCGCTCATTCCTCAACATCTGCTAAGTGCCGTTGTATCTCAGCAGATGCCAGATGAGGCCTGTGCAGAGGCCAGGGAGTCCTGACTTTAGGTAGTAATTTTAGAGTTTACCTGAGAGAGTTAGACAAGTAATGCTGAAATACAAGCTTCATGAAACTGAAAAGAATATGATTTTGTGAAATACTGCAGCCCTATTTAGGAGCTAGGTGTGGCTGTAGGTATTCAGGGCAACCCCTCAGGTCAGCTCTTACTTAAAATAAGAACTCAGGCCCACACAGAGGAGTCTCGTAACCACGCAATAGGAGTCCCAGGCACTTTGTTTTGCTTTCTTACATTGAAGTTTGCCAATAGATCTGTCCCACCTCCACTCCCCACTTGTGTAGTCTGAATAATCCTTTAAGACCGATATCAACGTCTGTCCTCTCCATAAATACCAGCCATGAGACCTAGCCTGGAATAATCTCACCCTCTCCTGGACTTCAACAATTGTTGTGTATGCAGTCCAGTTGGCAATTAATAACTGTCTGCCTTATGTCATCTCTCCTATTGTCCTAGAACATTATTTATATGTTATTGTTGGAAAACTCTTGTTTGTCGTACCTCACAGCCCATTTGTAATCTTGAGTACAGGAAACATTTCCCCACAGTGCCTCACCCATAGTAGATCTACATTTTGCCATGACCCCAGGGACCTCTGGGCCTAGGAGCTGCTCAAAGTCTTGCTTGGCGCCGTAGAGAACAGCTATGTTTGTAACGCCTACTAACGCCCTTGTGCCTCTTTTGTCCTGCTCTCTCTAGGCGCCTCATTGTGAGCATGCCTTCTGCAATGCCTGCATCACCCAGTGGTTCTCTCAGCAGCAAACGTGTCCGGTGGACCGCAGTGTGGTGACGGTCGCCCACCTGCGCCCCGTACCTCGGATCATGCGGAACATGTTGTCAAAGCTGCAGATTGCCTGTGACAACGCTGTGTTTGGTTGCAGTGCCATTGTTCGGCTTGACAACCTCATGTCTCACCTCAGTGACTGCGAACACAACCCCAAGCGGCCTGTGACCTGTGAACAAGGCTGTGGGTGAGAGTCCTCCCTTTTTCTGCCCTACATGGATAAGGGCTGTCCCGTTGATACCCCATATCTGGATGTCCTGCTCCTAGCTGAGCAGGTCTCCCATGAATGTAGCTCGGAGTGTTTTTTTCCCTTTCTGACTTCTTGCCCTAAGACCTCACTTTCTTGCTGTTTTTCCAATTGTGATTCTTTTGCTCTTCCTTCAGCAAGAAAAGGGAATAACAGTTCGGCAATCTGTGTGATAACATTACCTACTGATTCACTTGTTCCTTTTAGTCCAGTATTACCTTTTCTTCGTCAGGTCGAGTACTCTGATTTCCACCTTCTCCTATTTCCTCTTGTCCTATTTTTTCTTTCTGGGGAGTGTGAACTATTTGATTAAATGCTGATAGCTGGTGCCATGAATCTAGGGCTTCTCTGAAGAAATAAGTGTCCAGGGACCAGCAGTTAGCATAATGGTTTTGTTCCTGGGCTCCCACGTAGTCAACCGTGGTTCGCGTCCCAGACCCGGTGGCTTAAACTCACGCCGGGCGCGTGTGCATGCGTGCCCAGGATCCCAAGAGGAGAACTGAGGAGAAGGGATTGCAGCGTGGCCATCCCCCGTGGGGCGTGATTTCTCGCTTTCTGTCTCTCTGTCTCTGTCTGTCTGGCGAGCACACGTGCCCTATAGCAAAAACCTCTCCAAAAATATAAAAAGAAGAAAGAAATAAGTGTCCAGGCAGAACCTGTAAGAGGGAGCAAGCGGGAAAGAGAGCAATTCGGAAGCTAAAACACTGTGTTGGGGGAGACGGTCAGAGAAAGTAGATGGCAACGTGGCAAGGAGGGAGCTTGGGAGAAGAAAGTGAAGGGAGGAACCAGCAGTTAGCGTAATGGCTATGTCGCTGGACTCCCATGTAGTCGACTGCGGTTCGCGTCCTGGACCCGGTGACTTAAACTCACGCCGGGCGCGTGTGCGTGTGTGCCCAAGATCCCGAGAGGAGAATGGAGGAGAAGGGATTGCGGCGTGGCCATCCCCACTAGGGGGTGATTTCTCACTTTCTGTCTCTATGTCTCTCTCTGTCTTTCTGGTGAACTCATGCGCCCTATAACAAAAACCTCTCTACAAAAAGGAAAAAAGAAAAAAAGTGAAGGGAATAAACTAAAGAGAGGCCTGAAATGAATGTTAGAAATTTTAGGTAAGAGAAAGCCTGTTCAGTAATTTTCTGAGGTAGGATTGAAATGAATGTTAGAAATTTTAGGCAAGAGAAAGCCTGTTTAGTAATTTTGAGGTAGGATTAGGCCATTTGCTCGCACGTCCCATGGCATGCCTCTGTTCTGCTTTTTCCTCACCCTGGCTGCAGCCTGGAGATGCCCAAAGATGAGCTGCCAAACCACAATTGCATTAAGCACCTGCGCTCAGTGGTGCAGCAGCAGCAGACACGCATCGCAGAGCTGGAGAAGACGTCAGCCGAACACAAACACCAGCTGGCAGAGCAGGTAGGGCCCTGAGATCGCGGGGGAGACCGTGTTGCTCATATGCAAATAATTGCATGCCACTGGGTGACAAACACCTTGGGCACACACCGACCTGCGCTATGCTTGTAAGCCTGGTGAGTGGATCCTTGTCCTGTGGCCTAGTAGGGAATCTGATTGGAACTCCCCTTGCTTTCTTTCATCCCATTCATGTCACTCAATCACTGGTCATTTATCAGATGCCTTCTCTGGGAAGGCAGCTGTGAATGAGACCATCCAACCCTCGTCTTCCTGAAGCTTACAGTCAGTGTTCCTCGGATCTTTCATTTGCCTTCAACAGAGAGATAAAACTTTTGTCTCTCATCTGCTGTCTGCTCTAACCA